CATACTTTTAGGTTTAGATTTAGTTTTAGTTTTCATATATAGTTTATATGAATGTTTTTATTTGGATTATATGGTGATTTGACTTTCCCGATTGTGTAATCTCACTGATTTGACATACCGATTGCGACTTACCAATAGTGACTCCTTTATGGACGTGTGATACACGAAGTTATCATCCACCAAATTTTCATTTGAAAAATCCAAAACCCTGTACAAACTTAGTTTAGTTTTCCTATGTGGTGTTTGGGCGAAAGTCCTCTTTGAGGGCCTTTCTTTTTTTTGGAGGGGGGCAGTGTAGCGTTTTATTTTTCTTTTTATAAAATTCCAAATTTTAATATTGCTGGCGCCATCTATTCGCTAGATGTTAAACTTCATTCAGTACAGGTAGCGGTTCCTTTCCATAAAAACAAATTTCATTCAGTATAGACGATAGAGTTCACTTAATTGCCTTTGGTCATATGACCTGTCAATTCGAAGACTTCCGTTTTGCGAAAAGGAGGAGGAGGCTTTCCGAGAGATTGAGATCAGAAAAAAGACGCGTGGTTCAGCGTCCGACGAATCTCAGAGAAAAGGGCTTTTCTGAAACACTTTTCCTAACAGTAAAGGCACGGGTATCCAAAAGTGGAGATTTGAAATCCTGTAGAATATACTGTTCAGAGCCTAGTTCGTGTTTTTTTGGCCTTTTCCTGGAATAAGATCACAGTAAGTGTATCTACCATTTTGTATCGCCATGTCTAACTAAATTTTATTTCAGTTATTCCCGTTTTTTATTTATTTTGATAATGTTTGATTGTGCATTACTGGTTTGGATCAGCATATAGTTTGGCTATATTTTGGAATGTGTACAGCTGATTTTCAGACCGTAAGTTATTTTTTGGTATTCGGTGACTGTTCACAGAGTTTTTTTTATATAGAGTAACTGGCGTATAAGAAATTGACGTATAAGTAATTGGCATATGAGTAACCACTTTTGAGACAGTATTTATGACTCTACATTTATTCTACTGATATCGAAGACTCCTGCTACTATCGAAGAGTCTACATCCACTTCCGTTAGTCTGGAGACTGCCTACCTACCTGTTCACTACGTCACAAAATAAAAAAAAAATACAGATAAGTTCTAAGTTCAACACACAAGGTATTCCCTAAATTTTTTACTTTGAGACAATATTTTGAATATCTCTGTAAATTGTTGTCATTTATTCCATATATTATAGTCAAAATTTACCTTTTAGTTAACATTATAAGTCATGCTTTGTCCTTAACGGTACGTTTTACTTCATGATATGATCTTTTATGTGAGAATCGCTAACACGGATTCATTTTCGAAGGTTATTGTACACGACTTGTTTCGAAACATCATCGTATTGGTACTTACATAAATTTCACCTGTTTATATATTACGTAGTATAGTATACTGGAGAGAACTCTAACTAAATTTGAGTTTACCTAAAGTAACTAACGATTTCATTGGGATAATTGAAACTGGGCTTAAACTGATTGATAATTGTGTTCGTTTTAAATAAATGTTCAACGTAGGATAGTTATATCTGACTTTTTATTCTTGATGAACATAATAGACCCTTATTGCTGTTGATTATTTTATTTTAGCTATTTCATGATCAAATTTTTTCTTACTGGTTTCTTACTTTACCTTTTCATACCCAAAGTAAGTGGCGCCCCTTTTACTGTCTTTGACCATTACTATTTGAATACTTAACATCAATTTTAGAATCTTTGCAGCCTATACATTATTACTTTTATTTTATTATTTAACAACATTATTAAGTCACCACAGGTCACAAGCCTTACCTACGAACCCAGCTCTCCTCTAACCCTGAGCAACGGATACCTTTTTTCTTTCTGTTTGAGTGATGACAGAAAAAGTCGTCTGTCGAAAAAACGGCGTCAGTTGGCTGGGAAAAGACGATCGATGACATTTCCCCATATAAATTTACACATAAAATGACAGCGATTTTCATTTCATAGCCATCGCTAACGCCGTTTTTTCCCGATCATACGGTATGAACACAATCGAACGTCAGGAAGTGGTGTCGTAATAGTAGAACAATACTTATTATATTGTCGCCGAATTACAATCAAAATTTAGGATTCAGTTAGAATCAAACGTCAGGAAGTGATTTTAATTCAGCTCGTAAGATTTAACTCCAACTAACATGGCAAGTTAAATACTTAAAGGTTTGAAAAAAGAGCTCTAATCTATTTTAATATGTTTAAATGATGTAGCAAATTTGAAAGTAGGCTTTATCAGGAAGTATTACAATATAAATTACACAATGGCAACACTGCATAAAATTCTTTTAAATTTCGTTTGTAGAAAACTGTTTTCTTTTAAATTTATCGCCCTCTGTTATGTAGTAGTGAAACTACCGCATCAAAATATCTGATTTGGAGACAGGCTTTAAAAGCCTGTCTCCTTTTGAGACCTTCGATTTTTTACATGTAACGAGGCTTCTGTTGCGTAGCTAGATATTCTGTGCATAAAGGGAAGACATGTGGCTATCTATTTCAAAAATGAATTGTTCAAATGTCATATAATAATGGCTGTAGCTGTCATGGAATTGAGCGATTAAAAAATTATCATAAATAATTTTTTTCAAATGGAAACCCACTTTTTTTATTTCACTAATCAAACGGTTTTTTAACTCGTTACTTTTTAACTATACATGTTTCTATATACCTAAAATAAATCGTTTTTAAGTTATTTAAGACTTAATTTGAAAACGTATATTTTTCTTGATTTTATCTAGCTTACTTTGACATTGTCAAACGGCCAGACAATGTATTTCCATCTGTAAGAAAACGAATTATCTGAATTTCCTATATTATAAATACTGCCTGCTTAAGAGTTAAATAATAAAAAATGAAAAGTGTATTTATAAAAGTATATCTTGTATTTTCGCTCTTTATGATATCTAATAGTTGATATTATTAATAATATTCCGTATAATCGAAAAAAAACAGCGCAAAGTTGGCTCGGAAATGATACTTTTTGAACAAAGCATCACAATATGACATGGCCAGACCTATTGTTTTACATCACTTGACGTTTAAAGTCATAGGCTACTGGTTAAAATCAAGAAAAATATACGCTCCAAAACTAAATCTTAAATAACTTAAAAACGATTTATTTTAGGTATAGAAACATGTATAGTCAAAAAGTAACGAATTGAAAAGCCTTTTCACTAGTGAAATAAAAAAAGTGGGTTTCCATTTGAAAAAAATGATTTATGATAATATTTTAATCGCTCAATTCTATGACAACTGCCGCCATTATTATTGCGGCACACCATTATTATATGACATTCAAACAATTTAATTTTTGAAATAGATAGCCACATGTTTTCTGTTTATGGCACAGTGACTGTGTTAGTCAGTTAATTTGAAGTTTAGGCTATACACATATTTTTGACAGGCAGTTTTTTTCGTTAAAAAATTTTAAATATTTTTTTTTCTCAAAAACGGTCAATGTTAGATATAGAGTGTTTAACATCAATATCTATAAAATTTTACAGAGAATATAAGTATGCAATAAAAAATAGGGGCACCCATTTAAAATAAGAAAGTTGCTGTAAACTTTAGAAACTTCTAATGCACGCTCAGCCTGGGACACCCTGTATAAAGTGCAACATTTCATTTTAATAATGTCAAAACGAAAGTGTATAGTTGACAAAATGAAATGCTCAAAGTTTTCTCTTCTATTAAAAAGGGATGATCGAAAGGATGATGCAATTCTGATGTCGATTTTAATATATTATGCAGTGCAAGTATTAGTCCTGCAAACAAAGGCAAAAGGGTATACTTAACACTTTTTCAAATGCCTTTAATTTCCCCTTTGAAGTAAAGTCTGTCCATCTGTCTATAGAGTCAGAAATATCGTCAGACGAATATCTAAACTCCAAACAATGACAGAAATATTTTCTTTTGGATTAAAATCTGTAGAATCCTGGTAGTTATTAGTCCATAGTAAATAATGAAATTTGGTTATATACAAATATTCAACGACATTAATCAGTACAACAATATAGCTTAAGTTAAATTATTGTTTTACGGTAGCAATTATACAACAAAAGACATTTAAATGCAACAATATTGTGCTTTTATGCTTTCCAAACATATTTACTGCCAGCACAAATACCACCTCTATAAATAAACATCTTTAAGAGTTGCAAATAAAACTGCAACTTATTATAAAGAATGTAGTCGATATTAAATATGAAGTTTAACCCCACGTAATGATTCCATTTCTTACATAATAACCTCTCATAAATGTCCTATAAAATAAACATAAAGATGGTTTAAACAAAACTATTATAGATGGATATACATACATCAAACTATTAATAGAAATCACAGCAGGCACAGCTGAAACAGATCGATTAATGTATTTTTGTTGTCGATATTTAAAAGATTAAGGATTATGCAATTTTTGTTATCAATTAGGTACCTACTTACTTCAAAATTCTGTAAACTACACAATTTTTTGTAATAATAACACTTAAGTAAGGGCGGGTAACTTTCGTTTTCTTTGAAAAGCACTCGGCAATTGGAATTCGTCAACCGGCGCGTTTTGGCTTACTGCTTACAGCGTGTTTTGATTGCTTTGGTGAGGTTTGTTGGTTGGTTAGGTTCGTTCGTGAGCTTTTTTTTGCTTTTTTTTGTTTTTTCTCGGTAAGGTATTGATGTCTAAATTACAGTATCTACTAGGTTAAGTTCATACCTACACAAGAAAAGTGTTATATGTAAAGCAGAAACATGTTTTCATGTAACTGATTTCAGTTATTCTAAAGTTGCCACTATTTTATGAAAATGGCGTAGGGTCAACTGGGGTAAATGTAAAAAGGGGTAAATGTAAACGCCTATTATTTTCTGGTTTAAAGAAAATTTGAACGTAACTTGGCAACATTGTCCGCATTGCGCACGTTTGGTTTAGTCAAGGTCAGTTTTTAAATCATAAAACGACAGTTGGTTTCGAAATATGGCGCGGTCAACATAATAGTGCAGTTTCAAGTGAAAAACGGTTGTACCAAAGTGTTTTAAGAAGTGGATTACTGGCCAAAAAATGGTATGTTTGATAAGAATTTTGGTTTGAATAATTGTTAATGTTATGATTGTTCAGTATTAAATCAAAAATTAGATGTATTTTGCAATTAATAACCTACAAAATATTATTTACATTTGCCCCTGAAGAAATTAGTGTTGGGGTAAATGTAAATGACCAAATGGGGTAAATGTAAATACGAAAATTAATGTGATTAGGTAGTGAGTTTTTTAAATTTATTTTCAGAAATGCCACGAAATTACATAAAAAGAGGCCACCGTCGTCATACACCCCTGAAGACATGGCTAGGGCTGTAGAAGATATTTTGAACAGAAATAGAAGTTACCAACAAGTCGAGGACCACTATAGTATTCCAAAAGCGGTAGTTTTTAACAGAATTAAAGGGCGAAAAACTGCAATTAACAAATTAGGGTCTGGACGGTCACAAGCGCTTAGCTTTGACATCGAACGTGATTTAGAAAACTGTATTAGGGCGCGAGCACGAATGGGCATTCTATGTGACAAAGAAGATGTAAAACAAGTTGTGGCTGAATATGTGCGTGTAACTAATTTAAAAACCCAATTTGTCAAAGGAACCCCTGGAGATGATTGGTACTATTCATTTATGAAAAAGCATCCAGGATTGTCAGTTAAGAAACCAGAGTTGCTACAAAAGTGCAGAAAAGATTCCAGGGATCCCTTCGTCGTTTATGATTTTTACACCGACCTGGTCCAACTTTTTGGAGAAAACACATTGGAGAATAAACCAGCTTTTGTATTCAACTGTGATGAGACTGGGTTTTGTCACGATCCGACTAAATTCAAGGCGATTGGGGAAAAGGGAAAGGCGCTGTCTAGAATATCAGCGGGTTCAGGCAGAGAGTCCACCACGGTACTTGCGTGTATTGCCGCAGATGGATCTTACCTTCCACCTTTAATAGTATTTAAAGGAGTAGGTGTTCAGGTTCATCATATTAATTTAATATTAACTCATACCTATTAAAAAATTTTATTTTGGACTTTTTTTGTCTTCCAGGTATACTTGTTCCGGTCACGGTTGGATGGAGGAGCCACAATTTTTTGAATGGTTGTCCACAGTTTTTGTTCCTCATGTACAGTCTACACGAGCTTCTCATAACCTACCTAATCAAACCGCCGAAATTTTGACTACCCCACAAGTTCTAGAGAAAATGGAAATTGCTCAAAAGTTAAGAAATCAAAAGAAAGGGATCAATAAAAAGCAAAAAGATGACAATGAAAACAAAATTAAAATGGCACATAGTAATAAAAAAAGGGCTGTTCATGAAGAAGAAGAAATTCAAGAAGAATCAATAGACGAATCTGCTTTGTATCAAGATGACTCTTCTCATGATGATCTCTTAGAATCAGTCATTGCTGAATCAACAGAAGAAATTGAATATCATGAACCAGTTTGGAGTGAACTAAAACCAGGGTTATTTGTATTAGTAGAGTTTAAGGGAGGGCAGAGAAATACAATCCAATACAAGTATGTATGTTGTATACAAAGCATCGATCAAGAAGATGGAGATATTGTGGTTTAAGGGTTCGAGAGGTTAAATTCTGTATCAACAGAGTCTATTCAGAAGCCAAATGATGTAAGTAACATAACATTCAAGATAACTAAAGCAATGTTACCAGATCCAAACCTCGAATATCGTGATAGAAAAATTATTTATATTTTTCCTGGGGCAGTTGCGGTGTATGAAAAATAAAACTATAGATTTTTATCTGTAGCGATGTTAAAATAATAGGCTGGCATAGGTTAAGTCTACTGTTTAGTGAGCTAATAGCTGTTTTTGAACCTTAAGTTTTTGTGGTTATTTTGTTCTTCTTTTGCAATTAAAAATTTGTATATATTTTTTGTATTTCGGGGTAAATGTAAACACCCCTCCTTTTAAAATAAAAATGTATAAAAACATACAGACTAAGATTTGTTTTCATTTGCCCCTTATTATTGTAATGTCATACTAATATTTCATGAAATATTAATTTACATTTACCCCAATTAGATGGGTAAATGTAAACACGTAGGGGTAAATGTAAATTAAAAAATAAATAAAAACTAACGTGTCAATGGCGGTTTGTCTTTGTAAATTAACAGGTAATAGACTAAGGGACACTGTGCTCAAATTTCAAAAGTTTAAAAAGTAAGAAACCTTAGATAATCATTAGCAAAGTTGAAGTTGATAAAATCGTTTACAATTACCCCAGTTGACCCTATTTCCGCACATTTTTTATGTGTATGTTTGGAAAAGTGTTTAGGGAATGTAAAGCAGGAACATGTATTTTTTTTTTGATTATGTAGGTATATGTTTGAGGAAACTTCCATACCTATACTGGATGTTTTGTTGTTTTTTTTAAGTAAAAAAACACTAAGTAGGTATTATTGCAGACACATTTGGAAAAAAGGAATTTACTAAAATGGTTATTCACATTGCCAATAAAAATTTTGATAACAGCAGTATGAGTTATTAACTAATAATTAGACAGTATAAAAACACAATTCAGCAAAACAATACCTTATCTCCTGTAGCACAATACTAAAAATTAAAAATGCATTGAATTCTTATCTTTGTGCAAGTTCAAGATAAATTCGCGATAACCACCCTTCACATAGAATTAAAAAAAAAACCGTCCTTCAATTGTCTAAACGTAGTTATGTAGATTTGGAATATTAGTAATATACTTATCATGCATTTTTGTAACTTAATTATACTATACTTGTTCTCAAAAATCAAAATAAAATAACAAGAAAATATAAAAGACGAATAAACAGTAAACATAGAGGATTGGAAGCTCGGTATATTTCCCTATATCTCTCTCGATACTCTTAATGTTGCAATTCCTGTAAACAACAATTTAATTCGCCAAGACTTATAAATATTAATGACATGTAAGATATTTATTATTTATTCTTTTTTTGTTTTGTACACACATTCTATAATTATTATACTTGGATAAAACTTGGAGTTATTAATTTGCGACAAAGGGTTAACGTATTAGCTTATCTTCCAGTAAAAAAACAAGAATATCCAATAAAAAAGACGTTGTTTATTGTTAAAAATATGCCTTTGTATTTAAGTTTGGTTAGATAAAAGAAATAAGCCTTCTTTGACAACTGTCATTGAAGAACTAGGAAACCGGTGTATATTAAATAATAAACGTAAACCCCTTTTAGAAATTTTACTTTAAAAAGGACACGATATTGCCCATAAAACTGATAAATAAATGAGAAAAAACCAATACAAAATATCATGTGGTAATCAGAGAAAAAAGTATGTGGGTGTGAATTAAAAACGTAACAAAAAACAAGCTCTGTTTTACACTCACCTGTAACACGACACTGGCATAGTTTGAACAACACTGTATATACGATTACCGGCAAGAATCAGTCCGTAAAAAACGCACTAATTTTGTAAAATATACGGATAAAAACAATAATTTAGAATCAGATGTCACAACACGACTCTACACGCACGCCATTATAAATTTGACAGCTCGACGGGAGCGCCATCTGTACAAGACTATCGCCAGTTTTTAGAAAAATCTTTTGACGATATGGTGAACGAGATTTGTATTAGTTTGTATTTCTTATTTTTTTGGGGAATTTCGACTAGTTTAATAGAAAATAATGTAAATATACTAATTAATTTAATTTCAGTATTAAAATTATTAGTTATTATCTGTTAGATACAACAGTTTTTCATAATAATACAAAAATTTAAATTGGTTAATTTTTTTTGCCTTCTGTCATAAACCCTAACAAAAAATTAAAATCTAATCATAATCTAATTTAGAAAAAAGTAAAAAGCTTTCAAAAACGCTTTAAAAATTAGTTTTTACTGAAAATATTTGCATCTGAATGTTTGGCTACTCGCAAGTTTTCACCCTTTTTGTAAGTACATACAGGGTGTGTCTCAAAAGTGGCTCACCCCTATAAATTTTTCAGATAAAAAATAAGATTTGGTATGTTCGTATATGACAAAAATTAGGATTGATGGACGTATTCAAATGAGTTTGGTTACTATTCGATAGAAAATGACACTCTGAATATTTTGTAGCAGAGCCATCATAAATAAAGAAGAAGACACTCTGAATAGAATGACATCATATTATGTCAACTATTGACATTTTCGCATATGGTTTATTTGAAATTGTAACATTTTTTGTTTTTTCCGTGTAACAAATAATTTTTAACGCGCAACAAATAGTTTTTTACGTGTAACAAAGAGTTTTTTACGCGTAACGAATAGTTTTTTACACCTAAAAGTAGTTTTAAAACCCATTAAATTGAAGGATTTAAAGAACATGTTTGAAAAAATGTAGTAAGTAATAAATAGTTTTTTACCCGTCAAATCAGTTTCTTTTCGAGTAACAAATAGTTTTTTACTTGTAACATATAGTTTTTTATACCTAAAAATAGTTTTAACAGATATTAAATTGAAGGATTTGAAGGACATGTTTGAAAAAAGTGTAGTTTGAAATGCTGAGAAAGTAATAAATTCAGAAAATATTTTTTTAGCTGTAAAAATAGTTTTTACGTGTAACAAGTAGTTTTTTACGTGTAAACAACTATTTGTTACACGTAAAAAACTACTTGTTACACGTAAAAAAAAATTGCGTGTAACAATTAGTTTTTTACGTGTAGCAAATAGATTTTACGCGTATAAAATAGTTTTTTTCGTGTTACAAGTAGTTTTCTGCGCGTAACAAATAGTTTTTTACACCTAAAAAATAGTTTACAGCTATTGAATTGAAGGATTTGAAGGACATGTTTGAAAAAGGGTAGTTTGAAATATTGAAAAAGTAATAAATTATAAATTAATAAATAATTTAATTCACTTAAACAAAATTTGTATTAAAATGTCAATATTTTTTATGAACACGTGAACTGCTCACAAATACACGTCGCGTCACTACGTATTTCTAAGCTGTAGGCTATCCTTACCATTTTTCATCCCGCTAGCTTGTGTGTCACGGCCTTGAATTTTTACTCCCAGCGTGCGTAAAGAAGTTTCACTTAAAAAAGATCCGTTGTTCTGTCATAAATCAAAGCACACTTGATCATATAAAACTTTTTATCACATGGTATATTGGTAAATGGTAACAGAAAGAGAGTGTGAGATGTTTATAATTTTATTTCGTTTTACAATGTATATTTTCATTAATGTTAAATCAATAAATAATTACGAAAATTCGATTATTATAATTACGCCACGATTCTACACAATATAAATAAATTACATCGAAATTACCGCAAAAGTTACAAAAAAACAATAGTAACGAGAATAATTTAAATGATAATAAAAAAAACTATGTATGTACAAACGATCGACATAAATACAAAAATTATAAGAAATAATACCAGTATGATCGAAAAAAATATGATGATGAAAAAATAGTTGGTGACATTCATGTTTGAAATAATTATGACAGTGACAATATAACATTGTATATCTTTATAAAATTTGATATACACTCACCGGCACGAAAAACGGACACCTTAAAATTTTGATATATTTTAAAGTTTAATATATTTCGTTCTAGTGGGCCGATTTTGATGATTTTTATTGTAATTTGTAGCTAAATTATTTGACTTTTCAGTATATATTTCTAAATTGAAAATGAAAGTTTCCATCTGTCAATTATACGAGGGAAAACGAAATGTTGAAATTTTGGTGAAAGTTTGAAACACCCTGTAGAATATGTTAACAAAGCAATGAATTTAAAAATAATTTTATCATCTAGGTACGTCTTTTCTCGATAGTTTGTTTTTTGATTCATCTCAATAGCTTTATTTTTATTGGAGATATTCGCTTTTGAATAAGACACTAACGGTTTACAGCAATTTTAGCATTCATTTCGAGTCCTCAACACACTTTTAAAATAGTGTTTATTGCTTTTGTAATGTCACTGTCATTGAAAAGTCATATGATTATTGTTTACTGATATTTACTCAAGTAGAGATAGTTCTAAGTTCAGAAGTATTGGCTATTGCTGCTTTAATTGATCATGGTAGAGATCATCTTTTGGACTTAAAACCATATCTGCTAGAGTAACTGCCCAACAGACAATAATACATAGGAATGTGTACATGAAATTGCTCCAGGCAGTATAATAGGGCCAGTTATATTTATAATATATCTAAATGACATATATTCAGTAATAGACCTGAATAAAGGAAATGTTGTATACTACGCGGATGATACAAACTTGCTTGTTGGTGGGAAAGATGTTACCGATATATTGAATAAAGCCAACTAGGGAATGTAATCCCGCAAACCCGCAGGATTAAAGTAATCAATCCCGCGGATCCGCAAAATTGCGGGACTGTAAAATATAGTCATACATTTGGTCCTAAATGGTACAAAAGGCATTGTACATTTTGCATGGGTCCACAATATATTGATATAGCGTGTATCTTAAACTAGCTGTACAGAAATTTGGACCGATGTATACAGGGTGTTCAAAAAATATATTTAATATTAAATAAACTTCAATTTTATTATAATTTATCTACTTATTTTATAAATAAAAATATTATTCTGATGTTAAAGTTTTTTTTTAACTTGTGTTAGTTATCTGCTTTTAGATACACTCTATATCAATAATTTTTTGGCATATGCAGAATGTACAAAGCTTTTTGTACCATTTAGGGCCATACGTATGACTAAAAATGCATATTTTTCGAAAAAAAACGTCGTATTTTCCTTAAAACAAAAAAAAATTAAAAAACCAATCAAATTGTTTTTTCTAATTTCAATACAGATTAGTCGTACTTGGTAAAAATTTCGATTTTTTAAAAATTGTAAATTTGCGGTGAAAAAGACACTTGACCAAATTTTCACACTCTTATAAAACACCCTGTATACGAGAATTCGCTAAATATATTTTCGAAAACCACATAGCATTTTAATCACAATAGATGCATCTAAAACCTGGTCCAAACCGCATCTCAAAATCTTTTTTAGTTCAAGAGATATTCAACTTTAAATTTACCCTAAAATTTTGCTTGTCCCGATAATTATGTCCGGCAATTTATTTGAGGAAAGTGTTCACAAGTACTAGATAACGCTTTTCTTCACTTACGCACGCCAGAAAGAAATCTAACAACTATCCTGTTTGTTTCACTTATTTTTAATGGCCAAGCCGTAAGGGGAACCTCCCGGGTTCCGAGCGTCGCCGCATCGACCCGAAACAAAGCGGTTTGATCTTAATCGAGATCGATTCGGTTACCCAGTAATAATGTGTCGATCCCACGGATCCCGCACGGTAAATCTCGCCACTTTGATCCCGCGGAACCTCAGAGGGATCCCGCATTTGCGGGATCCAGCATATGCGGGATTGCATTCCCTAAAGCCAACATAATATTGAATGAAACAGATAGCTGGTTTAAAAAGAACAAATTAATTATAAACAATGAAAAATCAAATGCCATTATGTTTCGAACAAAGCAGTCTAACTTGATTAAGCCAGCTGCCGTAGAATGTAATAAGAAATGTGTAAATATTGTAGATAGTGTTAAATTTTTAGGTGTAAAAATTGATGAGTTTGTGGATTGGTCAGACCATATAAGCTCTCTGTTAAAACGACTAAATGCTATATGTTACGGGATAAAAGTTGTAAAAAGATATGTGGACTATAATACTATTAAGATATTATATTATGCAAATTTCTTATCAGTGTTGAGGTATGGAATCATTTTTTGGGGTGGAAATAGAGACATACAGAAAATATTTGTTGTTCAAAAGCGACTGCTGAGGACAATGAAAAATATGAAGTATAGAGATAGTTGCCGAGGACTTTTCAAGAGTGAGGGTCTGATGACGGTGCATGGGGTTTATATGTATGAAGCTCTGCTTTTCTTTTTTAAAAATAGGAATTCATTTGATTTACAGATGTCTCATGGGTATAACACAAGAACCCTAAATGTAAATTACCCAGTACGCAGATTGATTCTGACTGAGAGGAATCCATATTATATGTGTCTCAGGTTATTTAATAAACTACCAAATAATATAAAAGAAATATCAAATTTTAGAAGATTCAAACAAAACCTTAAGGCACTTATCATTGGTATGGAACCATACTCAGTCAGAGACTTTCTGGAAGGGGCATAGGTGTGTGTGTGGGTATTATAAATAGCTTGTTTATAGAAGAAAGTACATTTTTAAGACCTTTATTGTCTGTGACACCATTTCCTTTGTGATTATTTTCAGATTATTTGTAAATTCATACACAATGTGAAATAAATAAAGATGATTATTATAATAATATGATTTTTCAAGGACAGTGGTATTACATAAATCATAAACACTATTTTAAGGTCTGTTGACTAAGACCAAAAGCAAAGGCATGGTTTTAAAAAAAATACGAAAAAATGTTAATGTCATCTTCAAAAGCGAATATCTCCAAAAAATAAAGCTATTGAGATGAATAAAAAAATCAAACAATTGAAAAAAGATACACCTAGATGATAAGATGACTTTTAAATTCCTAGCTTGTTTGACGTACTCCACAGGGTGCTTCGAAATTTTACCAAAATACCTAGTATAATTGACAGATGGCAACTTACATTTTTAATTTAGAAAGAGATAGTAAAAGTCAAATAATTTAGCTACAAATTGCTTAAAAAGTAATCAAAATCGGTCTACTAGAACACAATATATACTTAATAATAATAGCTCCCGTATATAGCGTTTAACGCCTTGGGAGTAGCAAGGTACAGCTTGCTATACTAGAGCCGTTCGGTATACAAGGAAGGTAATGTGGCTAGCACTACGCTTCAACCGCCTATTATTACCTCGGGATTGTGAATCCCAAGTACTCATTTAAGGCTGAGTCGACCTAGGTACCCAAACTATTTTTATTTTAATAAAAATAGTCGGCTGATGAAATTCCGGGTGTGGGAATCGAACCCACACCTTGAGATTGGTAGACGAGAGCCTGTACCTCTACGCCACCGGGCACCTTTCACAATATATACTTACTTATAAATATATAAGTAAATATATACTTACTTATACAATATAGAGCTTTAAAATACATGAAAAATTTAAGGTGCCCGTTTTTCATGCTGGTGAATGTATTTTATCAATGAAGATTACAAAAAAAACGCGTTATTAAATGCAGATAAAAATTAACATTATTTATCTATCGATATTTCAGAACCAGCTGAATTTATTTTTCGATCATACATAATTTAATAATAGAGGAGACTCGTGATTCAAGGAAAAAAATAAATAAATAGCCTATGTATTATATCAACAAAAAAAATTACGTTAAATTTTCGGAGCTAGAATTTAATTTTACTAATTAGTTAGTTTCCACAGAGTCCTGCTCTGGGAAATAATATTCTTTAACTTGTTCTATAGCCTTCACCCATTCAGGGGCGTATCCTGTGGGGTCCTCCAAGTAATATTTACGATTAGGCTGAAAAAAATAAATAAAAAAAATAATAAAGCGAAAATAAAAATTAAATAAACTTGACTTACAGTATGAACGAAAAAAGTCTTAAAGTTCTTGGCCTCCGCCCTCAATTCCTTACTCCACGGTACTTCCCCTTTGTACGTCATCGTCACCGGATCTACGTAATACAAATGGGGCCCTAAAGTGAGCAAGAACATTCTCCGTCTGGGAAATATTCCCTTACGTTTATCTATTAGACCTGAAAAGAATAGAAAAGGAGTATAGAGTTGGGTTGTTATTTAACTATTGTAATCGCAAAACATTTTCCGATGCACATCATCAATCATATACTTTAACTACTTCAAATAATAAAGGCATTTTGAAAAGCATTTAAAAGATAAAAAAACGCTGCTAAGACTATCAAAATGTTGATCTAATAACAATTTGACGTTTATACTTTTAGGCGAAAAGCAACTTTTTTCCTAAGCCTACCATGACTTCACTTAATCATCGTTTCTTGTTCACTATTATTAATATCTTAATTATTAGATATTAATACATCTGGTATTATGGTATTCTGGTATTTCGTCGATTTTAAAATAAACTACTGTTTCTATCTTATTTTTTTGTTAGAATGGGCCTAATCAAGAGGGCTACTGATATTGTATTGTAAAAATAAGGTAATTGAGGGCTTATTTTTTGGTATTTATTATAATTTTGCTAATATCTTCGGTTTGAAAGAAGATATCAAGATGCGGTTTTCGCTGACTTTTTAAGCTTTTACTACTCTTTACTACCAGCTAAAATAGCACATACTATCGTATTTATTTTTTGTGTAAAAACCCGCGATGTTTGTTAAATTGTAAGAAAGCGCCCCCTAGCGTCTACGTTCAAAACCTTATTATTATTATTATTATTATTATTATGGTATAATATAGAGTAAGAAATGCTCTTCTAAACGAGCCCTCGTTTGTTGGATTCTGATCATCCATTCCGGAGTTATTAACATTTAAATAAAGACAGATCTAACCTTCCCCCACCACTTTATTTTAGCAGATATGGGAAAATGGTTCTAACAAAAAAAATCCAAAATTTACTGAAGATTATGAAGCTATTATTTATAGTACCCATTATCTAGGCAAAATTCTGTAAAAAATCTATTTTCTTATTTTCCATAGCAGTTGCGCCACCTAGCGGCCTTTTTACAAACTTGAAAATAATGTCCAGCAATTTCTCATAGTCCCTTTAGTTATAAATATTTTTTTCCGTAAGCCCTACGGCTAATACTTTCCGAGATACAGCCGAGAGCTATTCTTAGTGGGACACCCGGTACATCAATAAATAAATAAATAATCCATAATAACGCTTAGAATAATCTTCATAAAGGACTAGTTTTTGCCAATATGTAATAAGTAAAATAAGCTATAAAACAAATAAATCAATTAACTACTAAAATATTAGTTATTAAATCAAAAATAAATCGTAAAAATCTTTAAAAAATGATATAATAAATATATTGTTTGTCACTAATAAATATATTGTTTGCCACATTGTGATGGATTCATCTCATAAATCCATCACAATCTGGCGAGATGACGAGCCCTGTCACCATCGCTTGTCACTCAAAGTTGATCACGTGCATTGGAAATTGTTTTGCGATTACCATATCTGTTATTTTATAACAGTTATTTAGAAATAACATAACGCAACCGTTGCTATATAAAATAACGACACGTAGAGATCGACCGCTCGTGATACGAAGACTGCGCTCTGCATCGCCACGAATTTATATGTTACTCAAAGCAATTCCAAAAAATATTAGTATGAAAAATCTCAGTTATTTCGACAACCATCGATAACGGACGGCAGTCAAGATACAGCGGAGTGGGAAATGCGCTACGGCGATCGTTGCTGCATCGGTCGATGGTCGTGTTGAGCTCGTAACAGCTTAAAAATAACGTATATAAAATAAGCAGTTTTTTTTAACCAGTTGCGAGCATAACGCGTGGCGATCGGGATAACTAGAGTGGGAAAGTAACGCTGCTGCATCGGTCGATTGTCGATATTAGACTCGAAACGGGTTGGAAAATAACGTATAGCAAATAAGCAGTTATTTCGATATGTTATTTTTTAACCTGTTATGAACATAACGGGCGGCGCGGCGGTTGAGATTAGCGGAGTTGGAAAATAATAGCTTTTCCGCCTGTGTAGGTCGATCGCTGTGTACGGTGGCGTTAGAATTTAATTATTTAATTTTTAATACATATATATACATATATCTGCAAAAAATATAACTAAAGGGTATTTTGCGTTTTCTAAAACATATCGACAGTCAGAATTTATTTCAACAGTTTGAAAGTGATTTTGTTTTGTCGGATTTCTGGGTATTCTTTGACATCAATAATGCATGGTAAATAAAAATAATTATTAATTATAACTGAATTAAAGAAAATTGTCTTGATTAAGCTTCTGTTATTATAGTACGAGAGCTAGCAACGTCGAAAAAACAAGTATTTTAAGAGGTCTGGCCCTTTGATATATCTTTTACTATGCTCTCTAGAACAACATGTGGCCCGTCTGGCTGCCGGTAAACGTTGCGTTCTCTACTGCGCATTGAAAGAAGATCGATCCTATATTTTTATTAGTCCTTTAAATTCTAGTATTGAATATAAATCGAACATGTCTCCATAGCGCAGTGCGTAGAGTTTCCGACCACGAACCGATGATTCAGAGTTCGAATCCGGGTCAGGACTAGGACTTTTTTATTTTATTTTCATTTATATTCTGATAGTAAAGTATTAAATATTTGTTTTTTTAATCACCAGATTTATTTAATACTTTACTATCAGAATATAAACGAAAATAAAATAAAAAAAGTCTTTGCCCTGACCCGGATTCGAACTCTGAATCATCGGTTCGTGGTCGGAAACTCTACGCACTGCGCTATGAAGACATGTTCGATTTATATTCAATACTAGAATTTATAGGACTAAATTAATAAAAAATATAGGATCTTCTTCCGATGCGCAGTAGTGAATGCAACGGGTATTGGCAGCCAGACGGGCCGCATGCTGTTCCAGAAAGCACAGTAAAAGATATATCAGAGCCAGACGTCTTAAAATACTTTCTCTAAAACGTTGCTAGCTCTTAGACTATTAGGATCGTTTTGGGCAAGTTTATTTTACTATTTTGCTCTTTGCAAACTTATTTTTATATATTTATTTACATCTTAATATATTTGTTTTGTAACTTATTACTTGTTTTGTAGTTATTAAGTTTCAGTTACTTAGTTATTTTTATTAATATTTTTAAATAATGTACTTTCATTGTTTTTTTATGTTTTAAAACTCTTCAAAGGCAATTTTACTTTGAACTTTGAAGAAATTGTGAAGGATGATTAGAAATGTAGTGATTAAATGAATTAAAATTTTGGTGATTAGAAATATTAATTGCTTTTCAACGACTTAAATAAATAAAGACTGTCTAAGCTAATTATTTTTTAAATATTGATTTTTTTTAATAATTATTTTCTTAATTATTAATAATATAATAAACATATTCTAAAAATTAAAACACAGTTTGATTTGTTTATAAATTTTATATTTTAAGTACATTATTTTTGATTAAGAAATAATTATGGAGTTTTTTATGATTCTACTACAATTTGGACAATTTATATGCTCTTTTAAGGTGCGTTTTGACTTGAGCACGCACGAGCTGAGCGTACGCGCACGGCATTCGTTCGCGCTCTCGGCTCCGTTCAAATTAAAAACTTATTTTTCGACGAATGAAGTGATCCACTTGTGCCCGCACGGCAGAGTTGTCTCATACCGATCAATATATTTTTGACGCTTGGCCTAATCTACGTCTAGCACATTTAAATATTCATTGGTTATTTACTTACCCTGTTTAAGTATGAGATTTCCCTCGGCAAATTCGTGGAAGGGATTGCCCTCCTGACGTAACAGTCTATCTTCGACATCTTCGGCCGAGATGTCGGTAATTTTCCGATCGGTTTCGGATTTTTTGCGCGTCGGAGGAGCTACGGTACTAGAAACTGGCAGTATATTTTCTATAGCTAATCTGAAAAAGAAAACGAAATCTATTGCAACACAAGGAAATCAATTATTGTAGGTACTTACTTTGAGGCTTTTATTGGATCCAGACCCGGCTCCTTATCCGGCATGATACTGATGCTATTGCTACGGTCGCAAATGTACTCTACGTCGGAGAGTTTAGGCGGAGGCCCCAGGTCATCGAAGTCGACTTCTTCGAAGAACTCGTGCTTCCTCAAACTGACATAAGTAGTCTCATCGGACGCCCCTGTTTCAACAAAAGAAAAAATGGAATAAAAATAAGAAAGCATTGTCGTTTCACATCAATAATTTTAATTGTAAATAAGATATAAACTTCGACTCTGTCTTACTTGTATAATCTTATTTTTAAAAAATGTCTATACCTATGTGGCGGATTCATCTTTCCAAAAAAATCCTTTATGGAAAGTTACGTTACCTTACGTTAAAATAACATTTAACATGATTTTAACAGAACGTCAACGGTTTCTTGTAGACGTATCTGTTTTAAAAAAGTAAAGTGTTCTCGAATAGTTGAATTTAAATATTTTAAATAGTTTTTTTCTTTATTCTTTGTATTTTTTTGCTTCCGACGACGGAAAGAGATAACTTTCCGAAATGTTAAGCATTTTTTTTGCTTTGTTAGGCAAATTTGTATTACTGTAAACATAACTTCTGACAAGCAGCGTCCGTTTAGGTTTAACGCAGAAATGTTTACAAAAAATAATTATTTTATTTTGTAGATTTTCTTGCAGTGCAGTGGCGAAATACCCATAAAGGATTTTTTGGGAAATCTTATTTTTGTTGAAAGCTGGTTCTTTGATATATCTTTTACCATGCTCTCTTGAACAGCATGCGGTCTATCTGGTTGCCGATACCCGTTGCGTTCACTACTGCGCATCGGAAGAAGATCCTATATTTTTTCGGCCGGCTTATATTCAATACTAGAATTTAAAAGACTAATAAAAATATAGGATCTTCTTTCAATGCGCAGTAAGGAGCACAACGTTTACCGACAGCCAGATGGCCTGCATGCTGTTCCAGTTCCTGTTCCTTAAAATACTTGTATTCCCGACGTTGCTAGCTCTAGTTGCTAGCTCTAGAACTATGCATTTCCATTATCCATGTTCATAGGAACTTTTGTTCATTGATGAGGAACCAACGAGTACTTATTTAAAACTTTTGCAAGCTAATTATACTAAAATTTTTTAAAGGTTGCTATTAGACTTGGATGAAGGCAAATTAATACAATTGCATTTATCTCATCAAGGAGGCCGAAATCCACAAAATTTCAAGAGACAAAAACTTTTAATCTGCATTACACTGCTTACACTATTTCGCTAATAATAGAAAAGTCAGCGGCGCACATGTTTTTTTTTAGAAAAATATTCCAGTGATAACCCATTGGCACGTCCTTTGTGGACATGTCGACACTCTTTTAGTTTGAAAATAATATGTCGCATTTATAGTAACTTTTACCCTCAAAATTTCATTTGAATCACTAAAAGTACTTGGAAGCAAATTATAATAAATCGAAAAAATATTAAGACTTTAACACCCTGTAGCTACGAAACAAAGCACAATCGGACCTATGTTGATATGAAAAATAAATCTTACTTTTACGTGAAGACTCTCCCCACGAGAGATGGCACATGTTTTTTGAAACACCCTGTATATAAGGCAATATTTAAGGTATAATGTAAATAGAACTAGTAAAAAAAGCTAAAAAATACAGTACAGCTCTCGTTATCCTCGTCAAAGGTCGCAGGTTCATTTCCTGCTGACGATATAACAAAAGCTTTTTTTAAAAATTGAATACCTAGTTCTCATATCCTCAGCCTTGATGTAAAAGCGTAAAGAAGCTTTCTATTATCTATTATACATTTATTATGCATATTTTTGGACTTCTAAAGGAATTTTAAAGAAATGCAATTGATTTCTTTCTTTCAAAAAATATTTAATATCTATATAATTTATAATTATTATATTATAATTTTTATCGTACAATCGAAAAAAAAAACAACTCAAATTATCTTAGAAATACCGATTCATTGATGAACGCCATTAAATTTTACATAAAATGTCACAGATCGGCATTTCTAAAGTAACTTGACGCCGTTTTTTGTTAGATCATGCCGTATTTAGAGCTATAAAGTGCATCAACTAACATGAGACAATCTTTTAAAAATTGCACATTATTTTATTTAGAATATGACTAAGATTTTAGAGTAAACGAATTATTTTGTTTATATTCTGAAAAGATTATGTGTCTTGTCAAAGTTATATTAATCAAAAAAGCATAATATACTCGTAAAAAACTTGTACGTATACACATTCAATATACCGGATGCGTCTCGAAAGTGGCTCACCCCTATAACTTTTTATTTTTTTAGGTAAAAAACGAGATTTGGTATGTTAGTATATGACAAAAATGATTGATTGACGTATTCAATTGTTTTTGGTGTCTGTTTCACAGGAAATGACTACAACTTTTAATTTTTAAATGGCACCCTCGGTATATTTCTACTTTATTCGATAGAAAATGACATTCTGACTAGAATGCCATATCATATGTCAACTTTTGACATTTTCGCTTAAAAAAATCATATTTAAAATTTCAATATAGAGTGCTATGATTGTGTTAAAAACATTAATCAAGGAGGCTTGAAAAAATACATTTGATCGTCTAATGTTTTTCATGTCTAGCCCTGGCTGGACCAAAGTTGTTCAAATCGTTTTTTTAATCATTTCTCAATTTTTTCAAATGGAACAAGGGTGGCTCATTAGCATATTTGGAAAAAGCATTTTTTTACGAATAATTTGGTACCACACACTTGGTATATCGAGTCAATTTGTCGTTATGAACCGCATGTTCAATTTTCAATTTTCAAATAAACCATATGCAAAAATGTCAAAAGTTGACATATGATATGTCATTCTATTCAGAGAGTCATTTTCTATCCAATAAAGTAGAAATATATCGAGGGTGCCGTATAAAAATCAAAAGTTGTAGTCATTTCCGGTGAAACAGGAAGTAACCAAAAACAGTTGAATACGTCAATTAATTCTAAATTATATCATATACATACTAACATTCCAAATCTCTTTTTTTATCTGAAAAAATAAAAAAGTTATAAGGGTGAGCCACTTTTGAGACGCACCCGGTATTTGGTAGTTTCTCCAACGAGAAGATACATGACAGCGACAGAGCGACACTTGTCATAAATCTTCTTCTTCTTCTTTTAGAAGGCGTATCGCCTGTTTAGTTCCGGTTTCCTCCTCGTCTAAGCAACTCTTGCGAGGTTGACTGCCAACTGTCTTGCCAACTTTTAGGTAGTCGTCCAGTAGGTCTTCTGCCATGGGGTACGTTGTTGCGAATTATTATGGCCATTCTGTCGGGGCCCATTCTATTGACATGCTAGTTCCATTCTCTTCTTCTCTGCCTTATCCATCTGACAACGTCGTTTGTTTGGCACTTTTCTCTTATGTCTACATTTCTGTCTGTCCCTCAATGTGTATCCAGTTATCATTCTTAAGGTCTTCATTTCAGTAGTTCGTAGGATTCTCTTTGTTACTGATGTTTCAGCTCTGGTTTCCGCACCATATGTCATCACTGGTCGTATGCAGGTTTTGTATATTCTTGACTTACATTCTGTACTCAAATGTTTGTTTTTCCATATAGGATATTTAAGATGTCCTAATATTGCGGCAGCTTTATTGGCTTGTTTCCTTACTTCTTCTTCCAGGAATCCTGAGCTTGTAATTTTGCATCCGAGGTATTCGAATGACATTATCTGATCAATAGTTTTGTTTTTTATTACCAATTTGCACCGTAGAGGCTCCTTTGTAATGGTCATGCATTCGGTCTTATTTGTGGAAATTTGCATGTTAAGTTTTTCTGCCTGTCTGTTAAAAGCTTGTAGCATTCTTTGGAGGTCGTTCTCCGACTCTGCAATAAGTACTACGTCATCGGCATAGCATAATATGTTTACTTTATGCATTCCCATTCGATATCCTAATCCAGTATTCTTGACGGTTTTTATTACTTGATCCATGATTGTGTTGAATAACTGTCATAAATTGTCATAAATAAATGCCTTAATTGTCAAAAAAAAATTACAATTTGTAGACAAAGGTAAAGTAAACAAACAAACAAACAAACAAACAAACAAACAAAAGAGAATACAAAAACAAGTATACAAATTACATTATCAGTCTTATTGTTTAAAATAAGCATTATATTATATAATATATAATAATTATAAATGTTTACAACTCGGTTTACAATGTCAAAGAATAAAAAAATAAATATAAGATTCAAAAATATTTAGTAAGTTTATAGTAAATATAGTAATAGCAAACATTAGACCAGTGTTTACAAGATCAAATTCGATTATCAAAATATAAGTCATTTACGGCGTAGAAAGCCATGTCTAGTAAATAAGATTTCAATCCTTTGCGAAATGAAGAATGATGTTATGGATTTGATTTCAAATGGCAGATGATTGTGCATTTTTTTCGAGTTGTATAATATTAATATTAAACTTTTAACTGTTAACTCTGAGCGTGGGGTAGGTAGATAAAGAGCTTGCTCCGCGTTCCTGAGTGGATAAGTCGATAAGTGTGAGATGGCCTTTCTTAAGAAACTGATACATGCTTACGTATTAGGCAAATGGATTCAAATATAAATAAGGAAGGAAGAGTTAATATTTTTAATTTTTTAAAAAAGTCCTGGCAATGAGTTCTGATGTTCAGTCCCAGTGAATATCGAACAGCTCTCTTCTGGAGCTTGAAAATACGGTCAAATTGAGTCGGACAACACGTACCCCAGAATGGAAGGACATATCTGAGGTGCGACTCAAAAAGTGCAAAATAAACAGTTCTAGCCACTGACAAGTTAAGCTCCTTAGAAACAGATCTTAATGCAAAACAGGCAGAGCTCAATTTTTTCGACAAAGCGTCGATATGCATGTCCCATTTTAGAGAATTGTCTACAACAAGCCCTAAGAATTTTACAGATTTTACAACCTCAATGGTGGTGTTGTTAAGTACAAAAGGCTGCAGCGAGTTTTTATACAACAAAGCTTTAGTTTTAGAAATGTTGATACTCAGGAGATTCGAATCGCACCAAGATTTAATGGTGATTAAGTCATTTGATATAATCCTGTGAAGTGCCGTGACGTCCTTGTTGCTCCAAGTGAAGCTAGTGTCGTCCGCAAAAAGGCATATTTTACCACTGATGTTTATGTTAGCAATGTCGTTAATAAAAAGAAGAAACAAAATAGGGCCTAGTACTGAGCCTAGAGGTACTCCACAATCTATTGGCTTGCTAGAAAACAACGTGGTAAACCACCCTTACAAGTTATCTATCATTTTAGTTCACAAGTAAATTGAATTTTCTGTCATTTATTGGACGTCTTCCCTGGCTCATTGGATATATAGAATTACGTGTACCGTTGTTGTTATGTCGACAATGGCAAGTAATCCATAACTATATTCTTTGTTTACTACTATGAGCATTTAAACAAAACAATATCACAAATGTTTATACCATGTTCCAATTTTACAACAGAAGTTACTTCGCCCTCTCCGTATTTTTAAAAATAAGTTTACAGATACTGTTTACAAACTTTTTACAAACAACACAAAATTAACAACAATGGTTGGACAAGTAAATATTGACATTTAAGTTTGTAAATACATTGACTATATTTAGAAATAATGATTATTTAGTTCTCTAAAAAAAGTTTACAGGTCTAAATATACATAAGAAAATATTATATACTGAAAAAGACTAAAAGATATTATTAATCGATCCAATATAAATAGATATACACACGGAACAAAAACTATACAGGGTGGTCCGAACAGTATTCCGGAAACTTCGGCAGCATATTCTGCAGATAAAATAAGTAAAAAAGTTCCTTAAATGTATGTCCTAAAATGCTTAGTTTCGGATATACAGGGTGTAAAAGTTTCATTTTTATTTCGATTTTTTTCAAATAATTTCTGAAGTAATGTCAATATTTTGACGAAGAAGTCTGACTTTTGAAGAAGAAATGACTTTTGAAGATTTTGTTTGAGAGTTCTTTGACATGAGAAATTTGATTTTGATGTCAATATGACTCCTATTTGTAGGGGGCGCCACCTACATGTGTTTAAACTGATTTAAAGAGTAATAACTTTTTATCCATACCCGTATAAAATACTGAATCAAAAATATACATTTATGACGATTATTACATAAAAAAGATCTCTTGGTAAAAATCGCTACGAATAATAGTTCTCCAGATATTTAGAACCGAAATTATCAATACCTGTCATCATTGACATAAATTAAACATAATATGTTGACTAAATAGTTATTAGACTGAAATCATAAATTTGAAATGTTTTTGTGCCAAAAATTCAACAGAAACTGTTTTGTCATCATTTTTTCGCGGAAAAATTTGTGGTTAATTTAAAAAAATAAAAATTTCCCAAATTTATTATTTCAGTCAAATAACTATCTACTTAAGGTGTTTATTTTTTTGTCAATAATCACATGTATTGACTATATCTATTCTAAATATCTTGAGATCGGTTGCTCGTAGCGATTTTTACCAAGAGACATTTTTTTCGTAGAAAGTCACGGAAATGTATATTTTTTTATTCAGTAGTTTTATACAGGTACGGACAAAAAGTTGCTATTCTTTAAATCAGTTTAAATACATGTAGGTGGCGCCCCCTATAACTAGGAGTCATATTGACATCAAAATCAAATTTTCATCCAAATATTGACGTTACTTCAGAAATTATACCAATTTTCATCCAAATATTGACGTTACTTCAGAAATTATTTGGAAAAAATCGAAATAAAAATGAAACTTCTACACCCTGTATCTCCGAAACTAAGCAGTTTAAGACATACATTTATACAAACTTTTTTACTTATTTTCATCTGCAGATTATGCTGCTGAAGTTTCCGAAATACAGTTCGGACCACCCTGTATACCGAACTTATTATTTTGACAACACACTACATTACAAAAAAATATGTGAAGTAGGATAGTTATGAGAATTGTGTTGTCACAAATAGAGATGAGTTTTATAAAAATAGAAATAATGATGTAAATCGCATTTTAATGCATCAATTAGGATGCCATAAAATTGTTGTAAGTTGTAAATCCCCCTGTAGAATAATTGATTCTGTCAGAAAATATTTTCATTCTATAGTAAATAGTAAATAATACACATTGAAAATATCAGCCATATTTCTAACATATGACCAAAATTTTATAATCTTAAAAATAAAAAGTAAATAAATATAAACTATGCAATTGAAATATGTGATGCAAATTAAGTAAGAAATACACCATATAATCGAAATACAAAACGGCGCCAAGATGATTTGGAAGTCACAATCTTGTTCTCTCGCAGCCTGACAATCACATATTCTTGTACCGAATTGAACGCTCTACAAAAAAGGTCTCTTTTTTCGATAAACCTACTCCTTCAAAATTTATCCACGGTTAAAGTTAACCACTCAGTAAATTCCTAAATTCTTCAACTTTTTTGACAAAATTATGATTATTTTTGAAAAATTTATTCTATTACTGTAAAAATATAAAATTAATTCTTTGTTTTAATAAACATTCTTTAGTTCGATTTCGATATTTCATCTTATACAATACTTTTTTCAATACCACATACCACATCAGTTTCAAAGTTGCAGAAACAATTAAACATGCTTGCATTGAGATTTTGGTTTTCAGGCTAGTGTTTACACAAAAATTATTGCAATGGGTCTCCTTGTAGTACAAATGATTAGAAGATTAGGTGGCAACATGGACGTAGCCATTACATTTCTCTAGGGGGGTCGAAATACTAATAAACAGAAAACATAATAAACATTAACGTTTCTTTTCTCAAATTCGAATGAGTGGCAATTTCCAGGGGTGGGGGGGCATGGCCCTCCCCTGCCTCCCTCCGGTCCGACAGTGGTTAAACGAGAGATTTCCGGGTACATGGATTGACAGAAGGGGACCAATTGAATAGCCTCCAAGATCGCCGGATTTAACACCCTTAGACTTCTTTCTTTTAGGACATCTTAAATCCATTGTTTATAAAACACAACCTACATGTTTATAAAACACAACCTACAACCTTGATGATCTTAATAGGCAAATTACAGCAGAATGCCGGTCAATTCCCGGTGAAGTTTTTCGAAATGTTAGGGAGGAGTTTGAAAACAGACTTTATTATTGTTTACAGAAAAATGGACGACATTTTGAACAACTTATAAGATAGGGCATAAGTGGTGTAACCTAACCTTCTAATCATTTATACTACAAGGAGATCCATTGCAATAATATTTGTGTAAACATTAGCCTAAAAACCAAAATCTCAATGCAGGCATGTTTAATTGTTTCTGCAACTTTGAAACGCGATTATTCGGAAATCTCTGGACAAAAATCAACAAAGTAGGATACCACTGAAAAGATAATTAAACGCCCTTTAAAACGATGTGCCACATGACCCCCGTTCCCATTTAAGATTATAAAGGTGACATCTACCCCTCTTAGGGGGTTGAAAGAACAAGGCTAAAAATATTAATTTTAAGTGTCCCCCTTACAAATAAAATTGACGTGTCTTTCCGATTTTTCATATTTTTAACTGCAAGAAAGATATTAAAGGTGGGAAGCAGGGTTTGGAAGTAGTTAATTAAGACGTAATTTACCTGATTAACTACGTGTAGTTTTTCTTCAAAAACTACGTCTTTTCCTGTTCATTAACTACATGAAAACTATGATAATGAACTAGAATTATAAATTCATAAAAAACAGAATATAAAGGATAACACAATATATTAAAATTATTATAAAATACGAAAACTCAAAACATTAAAACATATTATGTGTTTTCTAAAGCTTCAACTTATTATAACCTCACCTTAAACCTGCCTCAAAGCTTTGATATTTGAAAGTTACATACATAGGTTACATAAACTACACCCCCTACATAAACTACACGTAATGTAGTTTATGTAGCTTTTAAAAGTAACATGTAGTTTTCTGAACCCTGGTGGGAAGTTTTAAAATTAACACAGTGTATAATATTCTATCATTCAATATAGATAACGCATACAGATTATAGAACTTTTTAATAATAAATTTTCATGATAAGATAGAGGCTATAAAATACATAAGTATATTTCTACAATGCACACACAATTCCACTGCAGTATATAAATCAATTATAAACTTACCTAAACGACGGGTTGGCTCTAAAACTAGTAATTTTTCTATGAAGTCTTTTATTCTCTCGTCAAAACCGTCCGGGAATTTGTATTCCAGACGTAAAATTTTTTGGAAAATAAGATATTCGCTGCCACCGACAAATGGCATTTGTCCGGAAGCCATTTGAAACACTAAAAAAATTATTTTAATATTAATTTTCATTTAATTTGATCCTACTACTGTATATATACACATACCTATGCATCCTAAGGCCCATAAATCTGAAGCATATGACGATTTAGATTCTTGTAACATTTCAGGACTAACAAATTGGGCAGTTCCAACAAAACTATTCCTTCTCCTGTTGGATTGTTGAACATCATCATCTTCGGTACCATCTTAAATCAAAATCCCATTTTTTCTAAGTGTAAAAACAATATTAAAGAAGATTAACTCACCATTAATATCATTATCTTCAGATTTCTCAATTTTGGCACTGCCAAAATCAGTGATCAATATATGGAAATTGTGATCGAACAAAATATTTTCCGGTTTTAAGTCTCTGTGCACGATTTTCTTTGAACGTAGATATTCGAGTGCAAGGACCAGCTCGCAACTGTAATACCTTGAATAAAAATAGGCATTAGTACTCAAAATTCACAAATAAAGACAACTACCATTATTAAAAATTTTGTAATTGTAAAAATTATTGAAAAATGGACTCACCTGGTACATTCAAAATTGAACTTTTTATATAGATTAATATGTTTTAGCAGTTCCCCATTTTTGGCATAAGTTAAAACAAAGTACAACCTTCCAGGATCTTGAAAAGTACTGTATAAATGAACAATATATGGACACAAGCTTTCTAATATTCTCAGAACTTCTTTTTCACGCATAACATACTCCGATTTCTTCTCTCGAATAATATGGGCCTTTTCAAGAACTTTGACTACAAATAAATATAATTAATATTAGAAAACATAAACCAAGTATATGCTGTAACTTACTGGCATATTCTTTGTTAGTCTGTACATCCTTTGCTAAATAAACAGTGCTAAAGCTACCTTCCCCAATAACTTTTCCAAATATGAAATCCGAAGGAGTCTTTTTGCGAATCTCCTGTTGTTCTGCATTGGTATTTGGTGGGGTCATTATACTAATTGATCTACTGAACTAAAACAAGTTAATATTTATTTATCGAACAATTTATTCTGTCATATAACTGCTTTATAATGCTTTTCTAAGAAATAAGGACAGACTGCATTATTATGGAAATAAATTTTAAAGACATATGGCTACTTATGAAATATATTGTTAAGATTACCTTCACTTTCTAAATTTAAATAGAAGCAAAATAAATATGTATATGGGGACTATGTTGCAAAATATTTAACAATGTTTTTTATTTGAACTTATTTAAATTTTCCTAGACAAAATAAACGAGCTTGCAGCATTCAAGGCGTTCTAAATGACTCAAATAAATAAACAAACGGTTTGACTTTGACCTAATATCGATGGAAACACAACAATTGGAGAAATCTGTTAATAACAGAGGAAAATGAAGACCTACCTGCTATTTTTATTTAATAAAGGAACTGTACGTCACATCAGACTTTGCGTCATTAGGTTGGAAATCCATGAAAACCTCAGGCGACGAATAATAGTAATTTTCAACTGATAAAAGGCAAATTTACGTCACGATACAACCAAATGATCAGTAAAAATATGACCTTTAAACACTGCACTAGTTCATTCAAGAATTCCTGAATGTAACGGTGAACGAAAACGATAGTATACTGAACGAAGGCTGTGAATTTCTCGACGGTTCCGTTGAATATTGGCTGCAAATATAACTGAAATTAAAATACCACAAAGGAATTGACCGTTTTTAGTTCGAAATAAAGAAATTCCCAGAATTTACTGGTTTTCAGTTGGGATTTTGACGTTGGTTGACGTTGGTTAACGATCAAACGTCAACAAATTTACGATATACGTCATGTACTATAAAACGCTTACTTCTCGAAGGCTCTCTCTATCTCACACACAGTGGGACTTACTGCAATGCCGTCACGTTGGTCGTTTATTAGTTTACGTCACTACTGGGAATTCCTCAGTAAGGAGAAGTATCGATAACGATAATTCACAAGATTCTTTTCGATATGCAAAGTCTTCCAAAAAATTGGTTGGTAGTAAAAAAAGTAGTCAAAATAATATGACAATAATTATTGATTTAAAATTTGCGGTTCGTAACGAAAATTTGACTCAAAATACCAAGTGTGTGGTATCAAATTATTCATAAAAAAATGATTTTGCCAAATATGCTAATGAACCACCCTCGTTCCATTGTTTAAACGATCCAATCTATTTTTCCAAAGCTCCTTGATTAAGAATTAGTTTTTTTAACATAGCCATATGGCACTCTAGATTGAATTTTAAAATACCATTTTGTATTATACAAAAATGTCAAACGTTATCATATGATATGTCATTCTATTCAGAATGTTATTTTCTATCGAATAAAATAAAAATTACCGAGGGTGCCATTTAAAAATCAAAAGTTGTAGTTATTTCCGGTAAAACAGGAAATGACCAAAAACAATTGAATTCCTCGTTCAATCCTAATTTATGTCATATACTAACATATCAAATCTGGTTTCATTTTATCTGAAAAATTAAACATTTTATAGGGGTGAGCCACTTTTGAGACGCACCCGGCATATCGGCTCAATATTTAGTAGAAAATGACACCCTGAATAGAATGAGATATCATATGTCAACTTTTGACATTATCAAATATGGTTGTCGTTGGTGGGGAAGCTCCTAGTCAGATGCTAGGGAAAATCTTTTTTGTTAAAGAAACACAGCGATTGCATTATATTTTGGTTGGTATTGAGACAAAAGTAGAAAGAAGCTTAAACCGCTCCCCCTAAAAATATCAAAAAATGAATGACGCCACATCGTGATATTGACGACGAATTTTGCTAAGAAAAAAAGCTAGTAGCGCACATGTTTTTTTTTTTTAGACAAATATTCCGGTAGTAACCCATATACACGTCCCTGGTGAATCTGTCCAGGCTTTTTTAGCATTAAAACATGTAGCACTTATAGTAACTTTTACCCTCAAAATTGATCTATGTAGAGGGTTCCAGAGGCGGGCAAAGATTGAACGAGTCGTTCATTCGAACGAGTATTAAAAATGAATCGTGAGATTCGATTCACTATTTAGAATACGGCTCGTTCAATTGAATCGTGGCCAGGACGGTGTTGTATTACTGTTTTGTTGTAATGGAACGAACGAGTTGTAAAAAAGAGCTGTCAGAATTATTGAATCGGATCACAAAGAGTCATAAGAATTAATTAATTGCTTACGATACGGTTCGTTTAGTTAAATCGTGCCAGCACGGATCCATAAACTGTGAACGATGAGCCGTTAAAAAGATTCGTAACGAATTGGGTCATAATGCGACTCGGTCGTTCAAAGAATCGTGAGAGTTAATTAATTACATACAATATACGTTTCGTTCAATTGAATCGTCGCCAGCACGGCAGCACGGATCCATAAGATTTGAACGATGAGCCGTGAAAAAGAATCGTAAGAATTGAATCGGATTACCATCAGGGCCTATTTTACCATAAGGCCCGGGCCTTGGGCCGGTGGTCTGGGGGGCCCGTTAAAGGTTGTAAAATATTCATAATTTCTTGAATTTTTGAATTTTATTGGAAAAGAGGGCCCGAATTTTTGCTTGGGCCTTAGGGCCCGACCAGATGAAAAATAGGCCCTGATTACAATGCGACTGATTTGTTTTTACGGCGCGCGATGCCGGCAGTGGTATAGGCAGAGAAAGATCGGTCTTGATCGGTCGGGTGTCGTGTACCAATATTTAGACTTGAACAAAAGCCCTAAACAAACAGCATGGGCATATAATGCAAACGATAAGAAAGTTATTTGAAAGAAAAAAACTTATTTATACTGTCCTTAGTACAATAGTAAGTAACGCATTTAATTTTCATGTTAATATTTTTGTTAAAATAATATTTACCGACTATAAACCCTTAAGCTGGATTTATAAACTCGGGAGTTGAGGTTCAGTTGAGGTGCAGTTGCCGTTCAAAATGTTCAACGCTATGAAATGAACGCGCGCATTTATAAAGTCAGTTGGTCGAAAAATGGGCAGTTCGTTTTACGTTCAGCGGAGTTCAAAGATGGGTTCAAAGATGCATTGGAAAATGACCCTTATTGTTGTTTCATTTTTTCTGTTAATGTGATGTTTATATTTTGCGTAATCGTGGATTACTGTGTTTGAACTTTGACAAATACCAGAAGTATTTTTAAATCGAAAGAAAAACGTTCGAAATTTTCACAATTCCAAACCTAACCTACAACCGAAACTGACAGTTTATAAATGCAAAAATATTGAACCTCAACTGCCGCGAACATCCAACTGCAACTGAACCTCAACTGAACGCCAACTTCCGAGTTTATAAATCCAGCTTAAAGCTGGATTATTAAATGCCGGACTAAAAGACGAAATCGTATTTTTATGCGTCTCAAAATAAACATTGTTGGCCTCTGCTCAATATAATAAAAAAAAACGGCGTCAACGATGATTATAAATGAAGAGCGCCGTCATTTTATATGTAGAATTATATGGGGATGTCATCGATGTTCATTTCCAAGCCAACTAGACGTCGTTTTTTTTCATTCATGCAGTATTATATATTATCTATTACATGATTATTAAATCGGAATTAAAATATACTCTAAAAATATTAAATTGGTATTAACCAGTATTTAAGAGATAGTATATACAGGGTGCTACAAATTCGAGGTACGAACATTGGTATCTTGAAAACCGTAATAGATATGAAGATGGTTAAATTGGGGCACAGTTGCGCTTTGGGATGTTCACCAAGATGCCATCAAAAAAGTTTTAAAAATTTCAAGGATTGCTGAGTTTTTTGGCAAAAACTGATTTTTTTGAAAATTAATTTTATTTTTTCCTGTTGTTACTTTTTAGAAAATGAAACAACTAATTACACATTCTCATAGCCACTCTATTAGGGTTATCTGACAGTATTTTTATATTTTCAAATTAACTGATAATTTGTGAGATACAGAGGCCAACTTGATTTTTTTAAATACGGACCTGCATTTTTTATTCCGTTTTTGAAAGAACTCGGTCTCCTGAGTACAATAATATACCACACTTTATACTTTTTTTTGTTTTGTTTACCTTATCAACAACAAAACTATTTAATTTTTATTAAAATAATTTCAAGTCCTACTCTGGTTTTTCAAATTATTTAATCTGGTTATATTCATCGCAACAATATTGATCAGAGCTAATTAACATTGAATCAGGAAAATCCAGCAAATTCGAAGATTCAAATAAATTATATCCCGGTCAGCAATTTAAAGATATTATTTTTAACTTTTTTTATTGTGACTTTGAAATCTAAGTGTGCGATCTAATAATATACGTAATATTAATCGTAGTTATTATAAATAAATCAATTTCTACAAACTAGTTTCTAATGCTCTACATAAAAAGGGTTACCACCCTCCCTATTGCACAAATTTATTTTTCGTTCAATTTTATTTCTAGCTCTTTGAACTTTATTACTCTTATATGTATATGTCCGAATGCATTTTGTACTCTTTATTGAGAATGTTGAGATGTATTGATTTCACTTTTACAAATGCCGTGAAGTAATGTATTCATATACTGGTATATTATTTTTACTATTTTATTGCATTTGATTTTGCGTATTCAATGTTTTCCCCACGTCATTGTTAAGTTTGAAAGCTTATCAATATTGTAACGATGAATATATTAAATATTTAAAAAAAAACAGAGTCGGACTTGAAATTAGTTTAAATAAATTGTGTTCAAATGTCCCAAACAAAAAAAATATTAAGTGTGGCATACAAGTATACTCAGGAGACCGAGTTCTTTTAAAATCTGAAATAAAAAATGCAGGTCTGTATTTAAAAAAAACTAAGTTGGCCTCTCTATCTCACAAATTATCAGCTAATTTGAAAATCTAAAAATACCAGTTCAGCCCAGATCAGATAGCCCTTATAAAGTGGCTATGAGAATGTGCAATTAGTTTTTTGATTTTCTAAAAAGTAACGATAGGAAAAAATAAAATTGATTTTCCAAAAAATCCGTTTTTTCCAAAAAACTCAGGAATCCTTGAAATTTCTAAAACTTTTTGATGGCATCTTTGTGAACATCCCAAAGCGCAACTTTGCCCCAATTTAACCATGTTCGTATCTATTACGGTTACCGAGATACCAATGCTCGTACCTCGAATTTGTAGCACCCTGTATATGAATTGAAAAATTGTTTTGTTGATAGATTGTTTTAGAAAAGTATAATGTAAACTTGCCGTGTGCCTTTTGGGAGAATTCGTTTATAGCATAGCTTTTTTTAAAGATATTCATCGAGATAAGTTATTCTTAAAATATTTCAAAACCATTGTATTATCCAAAATAAATAAAAAGCCAGACGGGCATCTGTCTTTTTATTCATTTTTTTTTACTTTCATAATATTTGTGCATGTGCGTACACCGTTTTTTCCATATTATTAAATAAGTTTGTAAAGTCGAAGCCGAATTAAATCACAAGCAAGAAGCAACATCACTTGTTACATGCATCATCTATTATATTTGCAATATTTTGAAAAACAAATAAATGATAGAACTGTATATTTCTTTTTCTGGTCCCAAGTAATATTCCGATGAAATTATCGCCGGTAGTGCCAGTTACGATTCTTGTTTTTATGAAACGTAAATTGTGCATGTGCAATTGTATTCGTTCAAATGAACGAATCGTAGGAGTCGATTCAATATGAGAAATTGAATCGTGTGATTCGTTTCGCAAAAAAGAATCGTAATGCCTCGTAAATCGTAAAAAAAGAATCGTAATCACTAGAGGGTTCAGACGACAAAAAATATTTCATTAT